CGATTAAATTTCATTCACATTTATTGACTGACTGTCCAAGTAATCAATTCCCTTGTTCACTCACAACTGTCTTTGATTTAGAGTCTTCTAACAGGTACGGCCTATAACTCGAAAATATATGTATTGCACTACCATGCCGTCTTCAGCAAATTTACTAAATGACGTAAATAATCAAATTGAGCGGTTTTTTTAAATAAGAAAATGTGTAATGATTGCGTATGAGACAACTACTCCCCAAAAGATCAAAAGATCAACGGACAAGAAGGCAAATCACTACATATCAGCGTACTGCTTTGATATATTGAGAAAAACTCATTCCGTATCAAAAGCTTTCAAAGGCTCTGGGTAACAAAATATCAAACAAAACAACAGACAAAACTAACGGTCTGACCTCAGTAAATTGCATTAAACGAAAAACAATAAAAAAAATTCTAATGTTATAAATGACTTACTTTTTAATATTCTAATGATTTGCAGATAATGGAGATTTGCCTATTGCATGTATAGTTTTCGGGTTTAGATTGTGTTCCCATTCAATATTAAAAACTGTATAACAATGCCATAAACAATACCTTATATATCCGAGGTCTATACAAGAAATGGCACAGGTGCAATACAACATTAAATCAACCGTTAAATCAATTAAAAAGGGCTCCATATCTAAACCAGTACTCATAAGCAAGCATAAGGTGTACATAACACATATATAAATGAAGGCAAATAGAAAACTTAGACAACACGAACTCCTACACTGAGGCCAGGTGATCTTGATGAGAAAGTATATCTTGTCTATATTTGAAACTATCAGGAAATCCTGCATTTCTCAAACCAGTCATAGAATAAAAAGTCATTAGACAAAAGGATACAAAAATGACACTGGCAGTTGCCAAAATCATTGATTAATTGAAACCTGTGAGAAGCGTATTCCATGCTGATATTCATTTACTTCACCTTTTATACACAATGAATTCGACGACAGCATACCACTTAAAAAAATATTTTTTAAGATCATCGGAATTTCATAATTAAAGGATTACATCTGAAGAGGTATATCACAAACATGATCCTATCTATAAATGATTAAAAATTTTGTTGCTCAGTCTTTAGTTTTCTGTGAAGAGTATTGTGAACATGTTTTGTAATTTCGTTGTCTTTCGTTTTTTTTGCCATTGCATGGTCAGTTTCTCTCGAGTTTTGAATGTACCCTTGTTATCTCCCGCTTCTTTTTTGTCTTATCTCGTCAATGAAACAACTATAAATACTAAATTTAAGACATTTGGTGTTGATGACATGTAGTTCTAGTATCGGGACGATGAAGCGCTTTACATGTCATAATTTAATTGTATTTTATGCACTTCTCTAGTGTTGAGGACTGTAAGGTTGACACATAATTGTGTCTTTGTTGTGCTGCCTCATTGGCATGTGCTTTACATCTCCTTCAAGTTGTATAATTATTTTGGAATATGCTTTGCTTGAAATAAAATGAAAAATAGACGCTAAGCATTTAAATATAGATCCATTCAATATATTGGGATTAAAGCATGAGACGATATAAGTATTTTATTGCGTGTTTTTTAATGTCTACATCGATGACTGATTGACATATGTTTGCAGAACTTTTTCAAAGTTGTTGCATGGATATTATATATCAATAAATCAAATGCATAGGCCAATGAAAACCTTTATGACAGTATATACAATATAAATGTTCTCGAAAAGAAAGTTTTAATTTAATCTTATAAAACTAACTGAATATTTTGAAAGATAACAATAAAAACGAGGGTTTGATTTTCCATCCATATTAATGAAAACGAAGCATCAACTATGAATCGATTGTATTTAAAAATCAAACCTTAAACAAAACGTAACCTGATGTAGACGAAAATGATAAATTCCATGCGTCCGAAGTGCTTTTCTGGATTCACTTTCATCAGGAACGCTTACAGCCAAGGATGTATAACTACCTAGTAAACAAACGAGGAGCTTAATGACCAAAAGGGACCTACAATAATAGCCAAATCCATCTTTTCAACTTTCCCCGAGGAGGTTAAAAATACGCTCATAATATATAAAATTCATTTTGTAATAAATGAGAATATTTATTAAAATAAATTAGAATTTCGTAGGCTTGTGTTTTGGTGGTTTTTTTTTGAAAAAGTCATATCATATACACTTTATTATATACCTCAAGTAAATGTTTTCACGTGACATGACATAATACATTTAAGGGGTGTGGAAAGGCCTATGCAATCCTGACTAATATCGATATCCTCACGGATGGCTGATACAGCACGATAGCCATTGATCGTATTACACATATAGTTTACCTGTATTTAGCACTAAGTATATAAAAAGAAATACACGACATGCCTTTGACATGTATGGGAAGGTGTCACTTATATAATATTTTGAAATCTGGCATATGAGAAGAGTTTAATTTTCGAATTTAGGTTTGTATATTTCAGAATCTTTGTTGGAACGTGAGCAAAAAACCTTTTGCATGTAAGTTATACTATATAAAGCTACTATTAGTTAAATGTGAATGATATAAAAAATATAAAAAACAACAACAAAAAAACAATCAGAAACATGATTAAAATTTCAACTGTATTATGAACAATTGATAGGTCTTTCCTTTTCATATTGTAAAATGTATGTTTAAATAGACATAAATTGCATTGAAAAGCTTTAAAAACACACATAAAAAACTTTAAAAGGATCCAAAACACAAAACTCGTTATCTAGGACATGACCTTGACATTTGACCTTATGACCTTTGTCAAGGTCAATTGGCCCTGATGTCATTGCAAAAAGACCCAATAGGTCTAGCGCCTTTGATTTAAGAGTTATAACTAAGAATGTTTTTGCGCACACCGTTAAAAGTAAGGGAAAGGTAAAATATCTTCGATCAAAATATAACAAAGTTGCCCCTTAATAACTTGAACATTTTCCACTTTTCAAGACTTCTGTTAGTATAATAGTTTTTGAGATTTTTCCATAATTAAGACATGGTCATCCTAAAAATTTAATCTTGCAGCATTTTCATGGTCATATGAGTTGATGATCATTGGTGATAATCCTAGGTGTTTACGACTAAGTAACCAACCGACATCGGTTAATTGTCAAAGGGGCATAATCCTACCAATGAGTCTTGATTTCCTATCATGATTTCCTTGATAGAGGGTTGCTACTTACAAGGAAGCTATGAATCCAAAACATCCAAGTGGTAAAGGTTAAATCATCCATTCGTTAAATTACGGACGCAATCACGAGTTGGTTGACCGTTATGGAATATCTGTTTCACAGATGAAGACGGATATGTTCCAACTGTCCCCTTTTCCGCGAATGTGACTTAAGAAATCAGAATGATACCAGGTTTGTACTTACATGAGCAACACGACGGGTGTCACATGTGGAGCAGGATCTGCTTACCCTTTTTGTGTACTGTTGTTTGTCTGTTGGTCTTTTCTTTTTTTAGCCATGGCGTTGTCAGTTTATTTTCGTCTTATGGGTTTGAATGTCCCTTTGGTACCTTTTGCTTCTCTTTTTGAATCTTTTCGGTTCAAATGTTACGAGAAACCAGGGTATGGACCTGAACAAATTCCAGTCTTTAGTTTTTTCTACCTATTATGGTTACGGTGTTCATCCTATAGCAAGATTTTTCTGTTTTGGTCAGATAAATCTGTATCGACAACATTTTATGACTCACAGGGTAAGTTCCTCCGGAATCGTGATAGGTATTTGTGACACCGATACAAAGTGTGAACCTGAAAGCGACATGTCTTACGGTTACGCAGGGGAACTTTGTCAAAGTTTGGCAGAAAAAGAGTAATAATAATTAAAAGATATACAGTAAGGTATTTTGTTTTTGGAAAAGAAAAGACCTTAATTATACAATTTTTTTTTATGATTGTGTCGATCAACGGATTACTAATTCTTGGTGAAAGAGTATTTCAATGAGACCGACTTACTGCTATGAATACCCTTATGAATAAATAAGCACAACATGTTGTGATCATTCAATTAGTGTCCTTTTGTAACCAAAAATGGTAACAATGAATTATTTTCCGGTGTTGACACAGACATGTTCAGTCAAAATGTTCGTAATATTTTTGGAAAATATGCTGCTTCTCCGCTAAATCTGAAGCATTTAGGGAGTAAAAAAAGTCGTATCGGTAAGGAGTCGGAATGATTTGGCAGGGATGCTTGATATGGTATGGGTTTTTCTCAACATTGAAGGCCGTACGGTTACCTATAATTGCTTACATCTACTTCAATTTAACTTTGGTGGTCAGTTGTCTCATTGGCAATCAAACCACATCTTCTTATTTTATATTGATGTCTTCTTTCGGAATGTTGCTTTGTTAACTTGCACGTTAAAATCCGGCTCAGCGTGTCGTCGGTCTACTACGAAACAGTGTTCATTCTCATTCCACCTTAATATGTTCCTGTCCTGGTATATGTTTGTAATATTTGCTATTGGACGTTAAACACAAATCTATCATTATTATCATTAAATATTTTTAGTGTGTGTCAAAAATATTCAAAGGCAATTACATGGTAAACTGAAGCATATCACGAGTCATTTAAAATGCAAAACTAATAACCTTTCCTTCACAAAAAAGAGACACGAAATTCATTATGTTACAGATCTTACACTGATGTCAAAACAAGTCAAGATATATTTTTCAGGTTGTGTAGTTTCAGGCGTCATATACATATTGATTGTGAGTGGTATACAACTTTTTAGAAAATTTCCGATTCCATTGATCTTAGCAACAGGGAACAGTTCGCACATAGCGAAACACATAATGCGTGAGGACAAAGAAACCATGTCTTATGAAAGAAACAAAACAACATCCGAAAATGGAGGAACTTCTATAAGTCGTAGAAACTACATTTTGACACATAATGGAGCGTTATGTCCTGTTTTCGAGCAGCGTTTGGGAAATAATATTTTTCAATTTGCTTCTACGTTCGGAATTGCAAAGTCTAAAAATATGACTATCATTCTAAATAAAAATGCAAAGGTAAACAAAGTTTTCAACCTGACTATTGAAGTGAGGAAAGATACAAGCGTTTGCAATAGTTTTAAAGTGAGAAACGAAAAACAGTCAGCTGCATACGATGACAAACTTATAAATTTTAATCCAAAAGAAAGTTTCAAATTACGGCGTTTCTTACAATCATGGAAATATTTTTTTCATTTTATAAAGGAACTGAAAGAGCAACTCACGTTTCGTGTAGAAATTTTGAATAATGTTAAGAAAAATATAGTCAAAATTCTCAATAAATTTAACAATGTACCGAGCTATAAAATAACATTAGTAGGTGTACATATACGAAGAGGTGACATGGTTAACAGTAGAGGGTATAATGTTGCCTCACCGGAATATCTGATAAGAGCAGTCAATTATTTCAAGGACAGATATCAAAATATTATATTTATAGTTGCATCTAACGACATGCCTTGGGCTAAAAAATATATGCCTTCTGATATATCTGTAGAATTTATACAAAACAGTGATGTGGTTGATATGGCAACATTGGCATCTTGCAACCATACGATTATAACAGTTGGGTCCTTCGGTTGGTGGTCTGGATGGTTAGCTGATGGAGAAGTGACATACTTCAAATGGCCAGCTAAATCAGGATCAAGATTTGAGAAAAGAATTAATTACACTGATTATTTCTATCCAGGATGGATTGGGTTGTAACATGTGTCTATTAATTCAAGTATGTATGTATGTTTTTCTAATAACACAATAGGGTACACGAAATGAAACTCATCTAGACAACTAACGATTGCTTTCACGAAGCGTTAAAGGGAGCCTTATTTAAGTTATAAAAAAGAAGACGTTACACTTGTTTTTATTATGTATTGTACTAATTCCAAATTTCATCTCATGACGATATCTACATGATTTGATTCGCTAGAAATTGTCTTTGATTTAAAATTGTTTTCTGAGAGAGAAAAAATGTAGCCAATATAAAGAGGGCACGCTGTAATACTGACTGATAACAATCGACAATTGTATTCACAGTCTGTATAAGATCTCTTATTAAAAGTTACACTTTTAAATAATATGGCTTTCAATAGCTATTTGCTCCGATTTATTATACTCTATTAAATGTGTTGATCTTTATACAACTTAAAATCATTGTGTAATTGGTTGTCCAGGCTAATTTTAAATACTAGTATTTAAACATTAAAAACATGGGAAAAAGTACTAACCGGCAATAAGAAAAACCAACAAGAGAGAGAAACAAAACATTATCATGGCAGATAATAAAAACGACGATAGGGAAGCAAGCCCACAACCCATTTTACGAAAAATTAAAGATTAAGCAACACGAACAGGAAGTGAACTCAGTTACTAACGAATGGTTGGTGATTCTTCTGAAAACAATAAACTTGTAAATTTAACTAACGTATTTGATCGTTATTAAAAGCAAAGTATTGCTTTGCAAAAAACAGGCGTTTGTGACACTTAAAAGTATGTCATAGTTTCTGTACGATTTTTTACGATTTTAATTTTAATTTTGTTACAACTGCCACCATACGTCCTTCCAAAACGGTGTTCATTTTGATTATTTTCTTTTTCTTGATATAGTAATCAGTAGAACACGTTTACCTCATGCATATTTGTAAGGTTCTTTTGGATTTTTTTTTCTTAATTTTAGAGATTTCCTGCTTATTTGTTTGTCACGAGTATACCCGTCTGATATTCAGGAGTATTAATGTCGCCACTGTTCTATGTATTGGATGTTTTCACTTACCCTCGTTCACTGTTTCGCTTTTTATCTTTTTTCGTTATCCGTCTTTTTCTTTTGGCTTTATTTAAGCTCTGAAATTTAATAATAATGTACTTTAAGTACATCGTCATGAAATGGTATAATTACTTTCAGGATAAGAATATTAAAAAATATTCGGAAACTGGCCCAATAAAACTTAGCGATGATTCACAAATTACCACACCACATGGAATAATAGTCACGTTTGTTCAATCCTTAAGGGAATACGATACAGTAGCAGGGGCAGATAATAACGTTTTCAAAACTGTTCGTGTTGTTTTCGCGACGTTGTTAATCAGAACGTTGTAATTTCGCGAAGTTTCTAATAAGAACGATTACATTTCGCGACGTCGTTTTAAATGTAGTCACATTTGCGGAAAATCCAGTGACGTCACAAATCCGGTTGCGCGAATTTGAAAAAAAAGTACCTGCCAAGAAAATCGGCCATATCATGAAAATTGTTATAGTCATTCATTAATATTGAGGTCAACAGTATTAACTTGAAATGTGAAGAAAAAAAATTAAATCCACATTCATACTCTTGTATATGTTTTATTTCATATAGGAAATGAATAACAGATATGCAAATAATGATACGTCGATGAGACAGAGAGATCTATATATAATATCTACACCATTTGGAAAACTGTATGGAGAATTGTGCAAATAAATTTAACAGAGACTATCAACAAAATGACAAAATAACATGATTAATAAAGACAACGCATCATACTGCACCTGACTTTGATTAAGTACATTAAAAAGTTTAACGGCATTTTTAGAATTTAACCCAGTGGAATACATATGTGTATGAAAAAGAACTGTCAGTTTAAAAGACACAGTTATAAGCCCCGTATTATAGACGGAATGACGGACGGACAGACGGACAGGTGTAAAACAATACGCCACCCAACTTTCATTTGCGGGGGTATAAAAATACCCTGAAGACAAATAAACTTAGGCAACTTATCTATTGATACAAAATCATGCAATTTCATGATCTAATACCGACTGCTGTACTTCCTATGAAATGTTAAACTACACCGTAATGGACTTTATTGAGACAATTACGACATGAATTTGCTCGAAACAGCTCTAAATATACACCTTTTTGAACATGTTCAGAGTAGTTCTAAGCTGACCCGAGTTAATTTGGGTATGGTTTTGTGTTCATATAATGCCTATATAGTAGGCCGATAGTTTTCTTGATTGAATTGTTCACATTTTCATGTCTGGGCTTTTTAAAACTGACTAAACAGTGAGGCTTTTTTTTTGGTGAAGGCCGTGCGGTGACCCTTAATTGCGTTTATCTTCGTAATTTGAAATATGGTTGATAGTTGTCTCATTGGCAATCATACCAACTGTCCTTATTTTTATATTATCCCACTTACTTGATAATTGTTTCATATTTTGTCTTGTTGGGACCTTTTGAATAATTAAAAATATGCCCAAGCTGTGTTGTCTGCATGAGTTCAAGGACTAATGTCGGACTGAGATGCAAATTATTTTTTATGCCAACGCCGTAGCGGAGGGGGCATTAAGTTTTACCCTTGTCCGTCTGTACGTACGTACGTACGTCCCAAAATTGGTTTCCGTTCTCTAACTTTAGTTTGCCTCAACCAAATGTTATGAAACTTATACACAACGCTTATTACCACAAAACACAGATCAAGTTTGAATTTTGGTGGCGTCACTCATTCTAGAGTTATGCCCCTTTACAAATGGAAAAATTGCTGAATTTTTCGTTTCCGTTCTCTAACTTTAGTTTGCCTCAACCAAATGTTATGAAACTTATACACAATGCTTATTACCACAAAACACAGATCAATAGATATAAGAAGATGTGGTATGAGTGCCATTGAGACAACTCTCCATCCAAGTCCAAATTTATAAAAGTAAACCATTATAGGTCACAGTACGGTCTTCAACACGGAGCCTTGGCTCACACCGAACAGTAAGCTATAAAGGGCCCCAAAAATTACTAGTGCAAAACCATTCAAACGGGAAAACCAACGGTCTAATCTATATAAAAAACGAGAAACGAGAAAAACTTATGAACCACATCAACAAACGACAACTACTGAACATCAGATTCCTGACTTAGGACAGGTGCAAACAAATGCAGCGGGTTTAAACGTTTTAATGGTACCAAACCTTCACCCTTTTTCCGAAACAATAGTGTAACATCACAACATAGAAAGACACACTATAAAATATCAACTGAAATAGCTTAACTCAATCAAAGGACATATTAACACCATTGAACATACACTGAACAAATAAATTTGACCTATGACACAATGTAAATACAAAATAAATAATCTAAGGGAAGAATAATAAAAGTAACATGTTATATCGGTAAGAAATGTTAAACAATTAAAGAAAAACAATATGCTCGAACAAAAATATCAGCTATTTGCACTAACTTTAAACACAGGTAAATGAAAATAATTTTGTTGTTAGGTATACGTGTATATAGTACCAATGGAGAAAGGAAATATTTTTACAAAATAAATAATTTTGATGTTCATAGTACGAAGTGAAAATTTATAGTTATACCAAACACTTATCAAAGCTGGTATATAGACCAGATATAACCCTGAATAACATTAAATAACAAAAAAGCAATACAATTAGTATCAACAGGTCAAATAAACAAGAAAGTACGATTTGAGAGTACTCGCAGTTACTGACAGCTAGTTAAAAGCCAAAACAATTAATAATAAAAAATCATGCATCAGAGACTAAAATCAACTAAAACACATCCCAGGGATTTAGTATTTTAACGTCATGGACAGTCAAAGAAGACATGAGAAGTTTGAATTTTGGTGGGGTCACTTTTACCGTTCTAGAGTTATGCCCCTTAACAAATGGAAAAAATTCTGAAATATTTGTTTCTGTTCTCTAATTTTAGTTTGCCTCAACCAAATGTTATGAAACTTATGCACAATGCTTATTACCGCAAAACTCAGATCAAGTACAAATTTGGGTAGCGTCACTTTTACAGTTCTTGAGTTATATCCCTTTATAACGTTATATGCAAGCGGGGGCATCATCTGTGTCCCATGGACACATTCCCCATTTATTTTTATTGTTATTATTATATTTTGATTATGAAATATTTATTTTTATCAAATTTATCTTTTTATGTTTCCGAACATTTCTTTTCTAAAAGTAATTTACTAGAATACTTTTTGTATCCAGCATGTCCAAGATTCGTAACAATTCATAAAGGTTTGGCAAATATTTTATGCTATTTTACGAGTAACCAGCTTTAAAAATTTTAATGAATAATATCATTGCTTTCGAAAAAAAAACTTGGCTATACCACTGAACTTGACAGCGTAATCATGAACGGCGGGAATGATTTTACGACGTTATTGCGATTAAAACTTATTTCAACGTAGTTTAGCGCCCTATTGGCAAACGTCCCGTTTGCAATTAAAAATCAAAGTTTATTGCTTTTATTGAAAAATCAAGCACATGGACCCCCAGTTTTTTCTTTTGCAATCAATCAAGTAATATTTAAAGAACACTCCGCCAAAATTTTAAGAAAAAATCAACGATCGATTTTTTTCTGCACTTCTGAATAGACGCAAAAATATTGTCAATTTCTTTATTTCACTAATAGTAAAGTAAATTCAGAAAACAACAATTTTGTTTAACCTTAAACTTGTTACAGCATGGTCATGCCATGGATCAAGGGAACATTTTACAAAAAACCCGGTTAAGTTATGACTGTTCGTTCAAAAGTATTGTAACTTTCTTTAAAAGTCCTTTTTTATGAAATTTCAGGGTTTTCCCTTCAAATATGCAAATTTCAAACCAAATTATCTCAAAAAGTAAGTCATGAAGGTATATTTTTCTTTGCATATTTCAAAAGTACACATCGAAATTGACCTTCTACCAAAATTTCAAGAATAAATCAACGAGGGATCTCTACTGTATCGTATGCCCTTAAATGAATAGTTTTATTTTCTAAATATATTTTTTTGGAAAATATTAAGTTTATCATAAAATTTTAATCACAAATGAAGATAAGAGTTTTACACAGAAATGTCAGCAAATCGAATCAGATATTATATTAGAATGTCGTGATTGTATCTGGTTTTAATCTATGTA